CTTTGACTGCATTAAATTAATATATTTACATAAAATAAGATAAAAAGTTAATAGTAGGTAACTGAATAAGCACAAAATAATATTTAGAACTTTCTTTTATATAAACAAAAGTACTTTAGCTGCTATATATAAGTGTCTTCAGTCAAATTATTTAAACATCTTTTGACTTTTCAAATATAGCCCTGTAATACACAGTATGTTTTTATAAAGCGCATTCCAGACACGTTATGTTATACTTGTATTCCTCAGTCACTCTATCGTGAAAAAATTCATTACCTTTGTCAGCGGTGAGGAAAAAGATTATTCCAGAATTGACCTTATACTAATAATTAACAATAAAAACTAAATGATAAGATTGTTGGTCATTCCTGCATTAAACTGTCGCCTAAAGCACAAAAAAATGACAGGACGTTGTGTCTTTTTTCTTTTCTTAGGCCTATATTTACTTTTTATATAAAATACGATTAGAAAGGCTTCGTATATCTTACCTGCTAAACTAAACTAACGTACGTTTTGAATCCTAATGGTGGTAAGGGATAGTGACCGAGTTAAAGCTGTTGTATTCCTTACCATTGTTTCAGAAGATAATTAATTGCGTTCACTTTGCCAAGTGACTATCTATTAATATTTCTTTTTGTCTTATATTTTGATTAATCGTCTTAATAATTATTTTTAATTTGCTGTAAATTAAAAACTGTAGTCTGATAAGTCCTTAAAATTTACAGCAAATTAAAAGTAGTTATTAAGAAGATTAATTATTCGAATATGCAAAGTGATCCATGATCCAAAAAGACGGTTTCGAATAATTACGGTGGTACCTCAGGATACGAACGCCCCAGCATACGAAATTTTCAGGATACGACACGAAATTCGAACATATTTTTGCTCCACGATACGAACAAAAACTCACCATACGACGTTATATTAGTTAGCAACTCCATTTTTTATTCACTTCTGTTCGTCGGTCTCGGTCGGTGTTGTTTGCTTCGTCGTGGAAGGATCTGGCTCGATAAAGGAAATCTCGAGGTATTATCAGAAAGTGACTGATTTTATTGAAAAGAAATATCCCGAAAAGGTTCACACTGGCCGTATTGCTGCTTGGAGTAATGACATTTGCCTAAGTCATTTTAGAAACATTTTAAAATTTAGGCAAAGCCTTTGGATAGATATTTTACCAAGCGACCTCTATCCAGTGAAAGCGCTGGTGGAAGTGAAGGAAAGAAAGCAAAAAGCAGTGAATAAAAATTTTAAAATATATATATAAAACAACATTATTTTTTTAAAATATTTTCTAAGTTATTTTTAAGTTATTGTTACATTATGTTATGTACGTTAAGTTTTAGTATCATTTCCCTTTTCCCTCTCTACCGCCACCAGTTTACACCTCCACCGTCGTCTATCCTCAAAGGTAAAGACTGGTAAAGGTAAAGCGCTAATAAAACTATATTTTTTTAAATCAATTGTTATTCTATTATGGTTATTTATACATTTACAACTACAAAACGCATTTTTCAGTGTTTTCCTTACTATAGTTATTATTATTATTTTTTTTAATGTACAACTTAGCTTTAATTTGTGTGTGTTTTTCGTGTTGGAACGAATTATTTGGTTTTACGTGTAATCGTATGGGGGAAAATGATTCACCTTACGACATTTTCATGATACGATCTGAGTTTCGAAACGGATTAATTTCGTATCCTGAGGTACCACTATATTTGATGGTGGTTTATTTTGATACTTTTTAGATATATTGTTGTATATTTTGCTATAGATTATGCCGAAATTGATGAAATTTATTCCAAATAATCCAAAATCACTTCCATTTATTTTTGGTTAGCATATTTTTTTAAAATTCTAGTCAATGGATCTGGCCCAAAATACACAACATCCAAAAAGACGCAGGTGAGGGAACGTAAACGCGTTTGTTTGGCATTCTTTTAAACATTTATGCCACTTTAGTGTAATTTATGATTGCAAACAATGGGAATGGGGTTATCGAGCCTCAAACGTTAACATTAAGTGACGTTTATCACACGTGTTTCGAGTGTTACGTAGACTAGTTTATATATAACTGTACGGGTATTAATATAGTTTAATACTGCTTTATTTCTAAAATTTTGATTATTTTTTGGATTGAATTAAAGTGCAAAGGACATTTCTATCAAACACAAAATCCGTTGAAACAACCGAATTTTTGAAGGAGGATCTAATGACGTATAGTACCGTATACTGCACACAATTCTTCTATTGTGCCTTTAATCGAGGTATAAAGAGCCTTTAAAAAACAGAATATAAATGATCCATTTAAATCTCTCTTGTTAGATTCCTTACTTTTACTAACAATAAGGCGTTTTTCACGGAATTCTCATTAATATATATATAAACTAAACAATGATAAATATTTGATTATTATTATTATTTTTTAAACAGGTAACACGTATTTCTTCAAAGGCAAGCATTTTTGGAAGTTCAACAACAAAAAAATGCGCATTCATCGAGGATGGCCCAAACTCATATCTAGTTTCTGGTTCAGATGTTCGGCAAAAATCCAAAAATACCCGGTACCGGTATCTATCAAGGTTTTAAAACACACAGAAAAGTGTTGCGGTCACTCCTTTTCCACCAACTGGAAACTGATCTTGGCTCTGATCCTCGCTCACGTTTATCTTTTACATAAAATTACATAGTCAATTAATTATTTAAATATAATTTATAAAGAACAATTACCACTACCGCCAGACCTTATATCCCACACGAAGGGGTTAAGTCGATTTAATTTTCTGTTTTAATAAAACATTTATATAGGCTACATTGAATTGAAAGTTTTAGTAAAAAGGCTCTCCTTTGACTGCATTAAATTAATATATTTACATAAAATAAGATAAAAAGTTAATAGTAGGTAACTGAATAAGCACAAAATAATATTTAGAACTTTCTTTTATATAAACAAAAGTACTTTAGCTGCTATATATAAGTGTCTTCAGTCAAATTATTTAAACATCTTTTGACTTTTCAAATATAGCCCTGTAATACGCAGTATGTTTTTATAAAGCGCATTCCAGACACGTTATGTTATACTTGTATTCCTCAGTCACTCTATCGTGAAAAAATTCATTACCTTTGTCAGCGGTGAGGAAAAAGATTATTCCAGAATTGACCTTATACTAATAATTAACAATAAAAACTAAATGATAAGATTGTTGGTCATTCCTGCATTAAACTGTCGCCTAAAGCACANTGATTTTTTTTTGTATTTTTTAAAAAATAAAAATTTTTTAACTTGCTTGTTAAAATGCAGAAGGATTTCTTTAAGTCTTCGTCCTCTTAGAATTCGATTTAAAGGATTTTATTGATATTTTTTTTTTTATTGATGCATATCACCAGGAAATCTTCCGGTCTGACCGACAAACACTTTACCAACGAACCGTAAACAAAACTATGGACTTTAATGTTTACTTTGTAACACATACTTTTGCTTAATTATATATTTTATGTCTTGTTTATGGTGTTTAGAAACAAATTTTACGACTCTAAGATGCTTTCAAATATAAAAAAAACAACATTTTTTTAAAGTTTTTAGACGGGCATTCGATAGCGAAAGCCAAACTAATTCGTGATAAATCTAAATTTGAGCTTAGATTATCTATATTTTTGCAATTAACTATCAAACCGAACCAAAATCGATAATTATTTTCAGAAAACAAAAAAAAGCAAAAGATTAAGTCAAAAATTGAGAGAGAATCGATAATTTCAAAACAAAATAATTAATTTATTTGAAACTTATTTACATTAAAAAGACAATTAACTTCCGAAAATCTCCAATCGACTAAAAAAAACAAAAAGCACGGAATTTTGCAGCGAATCGTATATAAAATTCTAAAATATTTGGAGAAATTTCATTTTAAATATCGGAAAAGACCTGATGACAAATTGATTTTCTTGAAAATTGCAAACTCGTAAGGAAGCGAGAAAATGCTGGAAGATTAACGCGGGCCGACGACTTTTTACAATTATTACAAATCGCGTACAAGAATTTGTAATAAGAAAAGTAAGTTACGCGAGTGCGAAACCGGTCGACAAATTTAAAATAATCACTGTAATTTTTTTTTGCATGTTTAAACACGTTCTCGCGCGTTGATGCATAGAGAACTTCGAATCTTCTGAGTGTTTAAACACGTTCTCGTGTATTATTGCGAAGAGAATTTTACGAAAACCGTAACGAATTTCCAAATTCTCTAAGGTATTATATGTACAGTACATTTAAATTTAATACCAAATAAGTATAGAAAATCTTTGTCGAGCATCTCGTAAAATATATCTATTTACATTATTTCGGATTCGGTTAGAAAAAAATAAAAAATCGAACGCCTGCATGGAAAAATGTCAAATACTACATTGCATCCAAATAGAAACCGACAAATTTAGTAAGGAAGACCCTCAAATAAATTCGAGAAGCCCTATACAATTCGGTAATTCCGATTTTTTTTTTGTTTAGAAATTTCGGAAGAATTTGAAGCATCTTTTGATGAGCTTAGGTATAACGACTGAGGCACTTGAAATAGAAATTTGAATTGGAAATTATTTCTGTAGTTTGGCTAAGAGGCTCTTCTTAGAACTCTTTTCTGTATTGCCCTAATCAAATAAAATAAATTTATTTTAATTAATGATTATATGAAATTTTCTAGATTTTCATAATTTTTTGAGGATTGTCGAAAGTTTCCAAGCCTTAACGAGTAAAAGAAAACCGTGCAACCAACGAAACGAGTCCGTGTATTGAGTGTATATAGGCCTACACTACCAGTATATATCTTATATAATCCACGCGACACGCGAATCCTCAAAAAAGTTCTTAGCCAGAAAGCAATATGGACCGACATTTGTAATCAACTAGTTATTTCGGCCGCTCAAATTTGGAATTTTATGTAATTTAACAAAACGTAGAATTTCAGCGATTAAAAATATTTGTATTAGAAACTAGTCTTATTTAAACTATTTTAATATCCATCGCAAATCTGCTAAAAGTAACCTAATACTATCAAAATCACCTATAATTACAATGGTATTTGGTTCCTACAACCTGCGAGAAGAGATTATAAAGACACTTCCCTACTTTATGCAATCGAGGATTCCTGTTATTTTAAGGTTACACACGCGAATAAGTAATAAAATATATAAATTATTCGCGACGACTTGCAAATTACACAGTAAATATAACTTACGATAACTTTGGGACCAAATAATAATCTGACTTTGTCTTCCTCTTGAGGTTGGCTGGTCTCGTCGGTTCCGGGTCGCGAAGGTTTCAACAATTTCTGTTTAATGGCCTGAAAAAAATAAAAATTAAAAAAAATCCAATCGAAAAAAACAAGTTTTTTAAGGGACAATCCGTTTTACTTGAGAAACCAAAACGCGTTTGGTGGCATTCTTCATTTCCATCAACAGATCCAACCAAGTCCAAGTGCAATCGTGATACTCCAAAGTGGGAAGTACTAGACCGCATTCGTGAAGATCTTCGATATTCTTCTCTTTTTCGCCTTTGTAACTGATTTTGATAGGCACTTCTGGAATTTTGATGTAGAGAAAAGTGTGGTTCTTCTCGGCTCGTTCCTTTGATGTGATTAAAATAATAATAATAATCAGTTTTTAAAACGACCACTAAATCTTGATTTTAAACAATATTTAAATTAATTAACACATAGTCTTTGGATAAACGAAGTGCAAAAGGACAAGTAATATCCAAAACAACGACCTTATTCCTTGTACTTTATATATTAGATAAATAATGCATCTGTAATTTGTTTTGTTTTAAATATAGACAATTTCTTATCTGACTAGACAAAGATCAGCCTTGTAATATATACATATTTTATGTTAAATGTGGGTATGAAATAATTAGAAATTCTTACATTGAACAAGAAAGGGGCTATTGAACTTCTACTAATTCATTGCAGAAGAAATTCATAAACAGATTAACAGACATTCAAGAAAATGATAATCTTCTAAGGATTGTCAAAAAAAGCATCAAGTAAAATTAAAACATTTCAAAACAGTAGATGGTGACAGGAAATGGAGATTAGGGCATTGTACAATTCAAAAACCAATAATTTATTTAAATTTTAAATAAATTATCGATTACTGGGTGTATTATGCATCAAAATAAGCCAGTTGGAATGCTGGCTCCATATAACAGATAAAAATTAGGTATGGCCTAAGTGTAAGCATTCTAACAGAAAGAATGAAAAGAGATGTTTGAAAAGGCTTGGATGAGAATGTGGAAAGAATATTACTATAAACAGATAATTGTGAGCAGCAAAAGGAAAGACACAAGAAAAGATGGAGGGTTCAGAGTAAAAATAACTTGGAAAGATCTGGTATAAAGATAAACAGAAGAAAATTGTGAAAAGATAGAAAAGGACAGAAGATTTTGACCAGTTCAACCAAGTAAGATGTTAGAATAAGAGGAAATTAATAATAGATATTTTTATATTAAGCTATAAAAAAAGGAGGATAGTATGTAAAGTCTTCTTTAGTGCCTAAAAAATAAATAAAGAAAAATCGCACAGCTTTGCTTGGAAAGAAAGTAATAAATCCTGAAGAAAAACTAATTGAGAGTCTCCAATTTCAAGCAATTGACAAGAATAAAATATAAGCAAAAAAGAAGTTATATATAGAACCTGTCTATATAAAAAAACAATACATAGTGAGAAAGAGATACTAGAAAAAAAAACCTATAATGATGAGAGATGTTATATATTTGACAATCATGATGATAAACAGAAATAATTGCATTGGTTACAGTTAGTGTTATCATCTTATTAAAGAAATATGAGAGAGAAAAATTACTTGATTTGTAGAATTAGTATATGTGGTTATCTGAACTATTTCAATGGATTATCTCAGACAGATTTACATCATTATTATAAATTAATCCTTTTCTGAAACCTAAAAACAGGTAAGAGATAGCAAACACAAGAAAATTCCATAGATCAATTAATAATTTCATTCAAATGTATTGATTAACAAACCAAATTTCTTAGTTTATTTTGGAACAATTTAGGTAACAATAATTTTCCTATATTTTCAACAGCTTCATATTTGGTTTGTTGTCTAAAATTTTTCAATAAAAGACAAATTATGAAGCTTAATTAAGTTCTTACTAAATTCTAAATAAAATAAATTCAATTTCTGTTTACAGAATACACTTTTAATATTTTATTTTTATACGGAAAAAAATAAACAGAGTTCTCTACTTGTTTTATAGTTCATATATTTTGATTCAGTTTCAATTTATTTTACTACAAAATGTCAAAGAATAATCAGCATAAATGTTTACGGACGTGCGTTTATTTGAATTTATTTTAAAAATTTCAAATAAAATTTGTTTTCCTTTTTTATAAATAAATTTTATTTTTTATTCCCATCTCTGCATTTTAATAACTTTTTAAAACAAAATTGTATGATACTGTTGTATTGTAATATTTGATTTTATTGATTAGATATATAATAAAACCAGAGAAGTAATTTTTTAAATTCATTAACCATACTAAAATTAAGTTTTTCCTCTTTAGTAACATAAGGACACTGTTAAAATTAATTTTAAATTCATAACTAATAAAACAACATGAAAATATGGGATGCTACTATTGATGGTTGTCGGACGACCAAAGCTGCCAGCCTACTACATAGAGAGCCCCAGCTTAGGTTAGAGTCAAATCATCAAAAAGTTTGAGAGAGAGCTTGGCCTGGATACATCAGATCAAATCTCTTGCCAAATAGCTGCTTAGCAGCCAAACCTATCTTGGGCATGAAAAATTACCTCAGTGTTTACGAGCAGAAAACAAATATTAATATATTCAAATAAATCCTATACAAGTCAATTGGATGAGAATTGCTGGACATTTAACTTAATGTTTGAAGTCCGTTCAGTCAATGACTCACTATTATTATAACAAAATACAAACTAATTAAGTCATACACTTAATTTTATTTTTCAGATAATTTCATTATTAGTTTAAATATCAAATAATTTTTAAAAATTAGTGAAATTTAGTAAATAGACATGTTAAAATAATTTTCAATAAAATTTATAAAATATCCTTACTTTAAAAACTATATTATATCATAAAATAAAGCATCTGTTAAGTTACTTTTGATTATATACATATATAAGTTTAGTATTTAATTTGTGGTTTGCATTTTTTTGATTCTGCAAAATGTTATAATTTTACTATTAGTTTATTATAAATAAATGATGGAACAATTTCAATTATTCACAAATTAAAAATAAATAATTTTGTTATTTGAAAATATTTATATTTTACCTTCATTTTTTCTATGTCGTCTCTGCTATTGGCGGATGTGCTGGGCTGTTTATGACTCATGGGACGCTTCTTGGATCTGGTCAATGTTCCTTCCTGTTCGTCATCGCCATGATGATCCTCTAAACAATTAAACATTATTATTTACTAAACTTGACAAAAAATTTCATTACAATAACAATAAATAATTACTAAAAATGCACATAACTAGAAAGACCATTTTAATTAAGATTATAAAATATTTAAGATTTCCAAAATCAATTTATAAATACAAACCTGGTTCGCAAAAAATTCATTCATAAAAAAATATCACCTTTTTGAAAATCCTTGGAATGAAAGTGGTTATTGAATATTAAATCTCTAAACTAAATTAAGTATATTTTATTAAAATATTTTCTATTTTACATGACAGATTTGCAATAAATGGAGAATACCTATTGGAATTATTCAAAAATATAAAAAGTTAATAAAATTAAATTACATTGATACATTGTCTGCATTTTTTTCCATCAATATATATATCTTCAATGTACAGAAACCATTCCGGATGATTACCTTACAATTAATTACAAAGAATATTTATAAATAAATTTTTACATATTTAATTGCAAATTTAAATATCACAAATATTGTTCTTTACAAATATTGAAGTTGTATGACAAACTTTTAATTTATAAGAAAACTGTTGAAAATTTCAAGATAATGAATATAGCAGGAAGAAATAGAAATATCTTTCAAACAATAAGATAAATCTATTTTAAATTAATACCCTCAAACTAATTACCAATAGAAAGTTTACAAAGATATAACTAATTTTACAATATTGAAAATAATTTAATTTCTGATTAGTTAATGACATCTATATTACTTTTTCTAACATCTTATATTCTTTAAAACTTATTTAAAAAAAAAAAAAANATTTTTTGAATAAAATCAATTATAATACTATAAATTTAGTTAACTTAATAAAGCAAACAATATATCTTTAACAGTCAATAACAGTGTTACTCACTGTTATTTGGAAATTCAGTTTGGGAAAATGCATTCCCAACTCAGTTAACAGACAATTTTCAGAAATAAAAAGATGTAAGAGAAATTCTGTTATGTCTAAAGCATTTTATACCTGAAGATAGCCCATTAACTAGGCCAAAAACATTTGCATTTCTCCAAACTGTTATCCACTGTTAAAGATATATTGTTTGCTGTATCAGCATAAACATCGATAATCATTTTTATCTTAAATAATAGATTCATTTTATACATTTGCATTTCATAAATGTCTCGCATATTCAGTCATCTAAATTATCTTGATGTAAATGTTATAACTCTGTATGCAAAAAATATATAATTTCATCAGCATAATTATTATAATTGCAAAAATATTATTGGGATACTGACCATGTTATAAGGTTGTGGATCTACTTTAATTCCTTTCAATGCTTCTGTTGAAAGATCCCTCTTCATAATTTTTGCTTTCATGTAGCTGTCAAACAAATTAAATATGACATCCCTATTATGTTTGGTCCAAGCTCCCTTTAATCCATGAACAACTAATCTATGAGTGGGAATATCATCCTAAAACAGTAATATATATTTACTCTTTGTAAGTAGGAAAATAAATATATAAAACTTTTATCTTTTCACCAGATTTTGATGTCATAAACATACAATATGTACCCAATAAAAATGCTTTTTGTATATTCAATGTGTAGATACTGTACAATAAAGATTAAAATTTTTAATAAAATATTGCACTAACCTAATGCTGTAAAATTATAATTGCTTGAATATTATTCCTATAATTACTTTGTGATATTTAAGAATAAATATCACATAGAAAACTATACTCATTTCCATCATTAGTAGTGTTGAGTACTTATTAAAAAAAATACATAACAATTGTCTTTTCTTTATAAATTTAGTAGTACTATTAATTTATTAATTTGACTAACCTGTATTACGACCAGGAAAGAAGAATTTTAACATGGTGGTGACAAAAGCATATGTCAATCCAATTGTTATTGGAATCACATTCAGTTCTAAATGTTCTTTAACTGGTATACCACCCACTGGAGCTCTTTCTCTACAGAAGATCCTTAAAGCTCTTTGCCTGTCTAATGGAATATTAGGTTGAAGTTCGGTTGGTTGAAGGACAATCTATTAAAATACACGATAATAAATTTCAAAATATTGTGAAAGAACAATTTTTATAAAGGACATACCTTATAGTGTGAATTTGGTAATAAATTAGTCATTTTAACATAACCCAGCTCCAGTAAATGTTCTACGGAATCATCACTTTTTGTAACTTTAGAATATCTGTAAGTCCAAATATATATATATATTTTTTTTAAATAAAATTCATAAATTTCGTGTCATCACTTTGTTAAGTCCTCATTATTCTTACCCGATAAAAATGTCTAGATCGTTTCAACCATCCAAGACACTACAGTTCTCTCGAGCAAAACTTATGCTTATAACTAAAGAATATATCAAAAGAATGAGTAGCAATTAAACAATCATCATTCTGTTTTTATCAGAAAATGAAAAATAAAAGTTTGTGTATTTGCATTAGATTAAAATTAGTTATGTAATATAAGTATATTTGTATATCTTATCATTTTAATAATATTGATTTCAATCTATGCTAGACTAGTATCTATCATAGAGAGCTTCACTACAACATAAAACTGAATTTTAGATCAATATTTCTGTTCCAATTTAAAACTACAAAGACAATTACTGATATTCTGTGCTATTCTGTTAGTTGATGTTTCTATTTTGGCAACTAAAATTTGAGTTACAGTAGATACACAATTTCAAATCAAGTAAAACATTATATAATTTTAATGTATTATCTATATTAAATGCTTACCCTCAGATAGTCAACTGTTTAAATTTTCCACAAAAGAATGTTTTTGTCATGTTTTAGGACTGCTTAATAAACATAAGTCACTGTTCCAACTGAATTTGAACATTTTTTGATGAATCAAACAATATTTCAAACAACACATTTTTGAACTTCTATATCATTTTTGGTGGATTAATGATAATTCAAACTATCCATTTCGGTTCTAATTTGATAAAATCAAACCCCATGTATGTGCAGTATTAACAATACTTCCCCATTCAGCCAAAAGTATTAATTTTCCCACTTATATTACACTGACTCCTTCATTCTTCCATTCGAGTATAGCCTCCCAATTTCTTATTTCTAGCACTCCTATCCATCTGGTGTCCAGTGTTTTGGAGTGTGCATTAATTGCTTAGATGATGCATTAATGATGCTCCAGAATTCTTATATTCTTAATTGTTTGAACCATCAATAATGTTCAAATTCAGTTGAAATGTTTGTGAAGTGACTTATGTTTGTGAAGAAGCTGAAGCTGTCCTAAAACAGGACAAAAAACTTTCCTTCTTGAGAAAATTTAAACATTTGGCTACTTAAAAGCAAGCATTTAATACAAATAGTACTATCAAACCAAAAACACAAGATAATAATTGTTAATTTTAATATTTTTGGTATTACTTTAAACAAAATATATAATGTAGAAAGATGAAGATCTGAAAATCTTAATATAAATGAAAAATGGGCAAGAAAGTTAAAGTTTCACATTTGAGAATTTGATATTTTTGAGAGAATTAACTGTGGTAAGAAATACTATTATATAATAATTGTATAATCTTAGCTTTAATATACTAATGCTGTAAGCAAAGAACATTTTCTTACCAAAAAAGTTTGGTAGTACAGATTTATTAACAGTACTTTTATCAAATTATTTAAATAAAACAAAATTTTTAAATTAAATCTAATCTGAAGATATTCAATAATACAGGTGAAAACATTTATTAATTTTTGAATTTTTCTAAGTAATTTAAGAAATATCTTAGATAACCCTATAAATATACAAACTGCATATAATAATGCGTTATTTGTTTAATTTCTTTCTGTTTTTGAATTTTCCTCTGAATAATTTTTTGAATAAAATCAATTATAATACTATAAATTTAGTTAACTTAATAAAGCAAACAATATATCTTTAACAGTCAATAACAGTGTTACTCACTGTTATTTGGAAATTCAGTTTGGGAAAATGCATTCCCAACTCAGTTAACAGACAATTTTCAGAAATAAAAAGATGTAAGAGAAATTCTGTTATGTCTAAAGCATTTTATACCTGAAGATAGCCCATTAACTAGGCCAAAAACATTTGCATTTCTCCAAACTGTTATCCACTGTTAAAGATATATTGTNTACCCCTACTTACCCACTGCTCATAACACATCCTAACAGTTCTATCAGAACGGTTCAGATGGCGGCCAATCCGGCAGTATGACCATCTTCCTCTCAATCCAACAATGCGACCTCTCTTAAACTCACTTAACTGAGTGTAAGGCTGTCGAATGCGTCGTAGAGGCATGTCTGTCACTCAATGAAGTCAAAACCATGAATAAAAGTGCAGAACATATGCACAAGTCGTCACAGCGTGCACCTTTATACCAGGCAGCGGAAACATTTTTTCCCCTCTGGTGGCGATATAACATAAGAACCTACTCTCAAAAGCTAATCATTTACATATCTAGCTAAGATGATGCAACATATCAATTTTTATTCAGATCTAACAAGTCCTTCATGGTGCGTTATTTTTTTTGTCGTCCAGTGTATTTGCAGTTTTTTCTTTTAATTATAATTGACTCTTTCCATCTTAGCTTATAAGTAATCCTGCAATGGTAACTTGTGGAAGTCTAAAACAAGAAAAGCTTGAATGACAAAACTAAAAACAAAGAATTGTTTCTATGTATGTATAGCAAAAGATATTACTTCTTTCCCTCCAGGTAAAAAGTCTAGAAAAATCTGTCTATTCTACATTGATAAAGCATTAATAAAAGAAAATCTTCTAGGGGAGGAAAAAACTTTGGTAACCACCAAGTAACTTATAAACTCAGAGGATATAAAAGCATCCAACTTTCCCTTCCCAGGCATTTGGTAAGCCACTCTTCTAGCCCTACAACTAGTCAGTTAGCTGGCCGGCCAGTTAATGAACAATAAGAAAATCATGTCAACTAATTTGTTTTTCCCTTGTATGTAACAGGACTTGTATACGGTTGAACATAATATATTGTAGAAATAAAAATTCAAGCATATGTGTATAGTTATTTATGCATGACTATATGAATATTTTAAAATAATATATTTCTTGGTTGAGATAAAACCAAGGAATGTAATCTTTCCAATTAATGAATATATTATTTCAAATAAATAATCCAATATAATGCTTTTGTTATTGTTTAATATTCATATCTCAAATTCTTTAATTAAACATCTTATATCTGTTTTCACATGTAATCACATTCAGCTTGTCAATAAAATAATATCTGTTCTAGTGGAAAAATAATTAAAATTCTTAATGTTTTTGGACTTACCAATTCATTTTCAGAGGAAATTCAAAGAATTCATAAATAAGTGAAATTATAAATTAATAAATTATTATAATTATAAATGACTCGACTGACCAGATAACATGGATAGCTGTTTATTAAACACAAATTAAACACTTGTATATCTCTCTGGTTCCCTGGAGCAACAATATGGCTGTCCTTTTTGCACTACAACCCTTTCAACCCATGTTGCCACCTCAACACATACACAGTGAAATTTAATGTTTAATTACAATTTTAATCTCAACATATATTACAATAAGCTTGTCACAATCAATAAACTTAATGCATATATCTGCAAAGGTGATGAATGTGTTCTAGTGTTTTAAAAAAATAATTACTGGCTTCTAGTCATAATTTAGTTATTATTATAGACTAAATAAATATGTAATTGAATAAATTCTAAATATAACAACATATATTAAAATTAATAAAACCTTAATCAATTTTATTTTATTATTATTGTTTTGTATATAATTTTCAGTACATAAGTTGAGTTTTATCTACGTTCAATGTTTTTAAATTACCTCTCTCTCTAACTGTTCGAGTTCTTGTATAAGATCTTCTCTGTCAGGATTATCATTCAATGCTCTGTGAATGATGTAAGCTTCTCTTTCTAACTGACGTACATTAAACACATGCAACCTATTTTGAATGTTAAAGTATTTATAAAATATATTTTATTAATGTAAAATTATTTTAATTAATTCAAATAAACTTTTAACAAGAATCTATCAAATAGTAAAAACCATTTTTTTTTCAAAATAAAGCAATTATTTCTGTAAACAATTAAGTTAAAATAAAATTAAAACATTTATTTGGAGAGAAAATATATTAAAAATAATTTTAAAATTTGAAAAGCGTCAATAAAATTGTTAATTATTTTAAATTCTTGTCAATTTTTCAAAATTACTGTATAAACTTTTTTCAATGAGCAAAGTGAATTTTGTGTATTGTTATAAGAGTTTCTGTGTTTTCTATTTTACCTTGAATACTTAATGTGAGAACAAATTAAGAATTGTTTCTTTGTTGTTTCTTGTTTCTTTTTATGAATTAAAAATTAAATAAAAATGCATTATACAACTGCACTGTCTTGTCTGACTTGCAAAGTATAGTATGAAGTTTTATGGTAAATAAAACTTCACAATTTTTGAACATACTGTACATAGTATAAAAATTAAATTCAAGTTAAATTTAAACTGAAATTTAGTTGATATTTAATCTGCTATTGATTTAAAATTCTAGCATATGCAGCATGTTCCAAAAACTTACTACTTTTTCGACTAAATGACTGTAGTGATACGCGACTATGTATTATTATTATATATATATTTTTATTGGGTTCCTTTTTGTATGTATCAAGTTTTCTTAATTTGTATGATGTCGCGTGTATTTTTGTGTTATGATGTCATCTCTTAGGTACCATGGGAAAAGTCTTCCGATTGGTCCAAGGTGGGACACATGGTAAAGTGGACTTCCAGCGAGCGGGAAGTATAAAAATGTGTGAACTCCCACAATTCGGTATTCTGGTTTGCGCATCTGTCGAGGATAGTATGAAGGTTCAAGGCCAGGTCGAGAGAATAGGAGTGAGAAAGGAAGACCATTCAAGCTCGAGTCCAATCCGTTTCCATCTTAAGGAAATTTAGAAATAACAATGAGGGGACGTACGTTTTGTCATGTAATTTACATCCAGGTTTTGTACATAACTATTAGTTTTAAGTTAACAATACTTATATATAGTGTAAACTTGAGTGATGGGAATTCTATATCGTGTAAACATGAGTAGTAGGAATCACGGTTATCGTACGAGTAAAATAAACTTTTTTTTTTGTTATTTTCGTGCATGTGTTTGGTCATTGAGTCCTTAATATATATCTATACATATATATATATATATATATATGTATAAATATATATTTAAAGTTTGGCATCAGGCTTTGAAAAACATCTTTTAGAATAGCAAAAGATTTCATTTTCAATAAATGCCTCAAATTCATCCAAAGTCTGAGTCAGTTTAATAGACTATACTTAACATATCTCCATAAAAAAGAAGTTTTAAATATGGAGAATATGCAAGTCCGTCAATTCTCTTCTATAATTCTTTCCATAATGTAAAAACTGAAAGCAGATATATTAAACATGTCATGGCATTCAAACATCAGAAATGCTAATATCATTTTTGTTGGCCTTACTGGCTAATATGATTGTTTGCCTGCAATAACTGATTCAATTTGGTAAATAGATTTTGGGTAACCTCCTTGTACTATTACTTTTAAAACAGATAAGTTTATTTTCATGGCAATGTTTGAGTTTGTTTATTCATTAATATATTTTGAATATACCAATATAACTGTATGTTTTAATATATAAAAAAACATAGCACTAAAGGAAGAACTCTGTTATATACTGCAGCATATAACAGGGTTCCTCCTTTAGTGCTATGTTTTTATTGCATATATTAACAATGTTTAACAGGTATACATTCCAAGGCTTATGCCAATGATATTAAATTAATTAATACCCCTAGTAACCCTATCTATTTGCAAGCAGATTTTAATACCCTAGTTGGATTCTTGGGGGAACCCCAAACCTTGTCATCAATGCACATAAAACAGTCATTATACTCTTTTCTTTGTATCAAAATTTTCATACTTTAGACTTTATTGAAAACTGTTGTCTTTCATACATTCAGTTGATCTCTGATTTGGGAATAATTTTTTATTCTAAACTCACTTTTCATATTAAAAAAGTTATTAAGAGGCTGGCAATTTGTTACAGCATGTTTTGGTGGTTTTTTTCAAGCAAACTTCTTTTAAGCCAGTTTTACACACTATTTTTTTGGTAATTTTCTGTCCTTAATCAATTACTGCCTCCTGGTTTGATCTTTGTTGCTCCATACCCATTAAACTAAGTAAAAAATACCTTAATAAGGTTTTTTACTTTTTAATAAGCTTGTTAATCCACATTACATTAATTCTGCCAATGTGGCTTGGTGTAGATTGGGGTTTCCTGATTTATACAATCACATAAAATCTGATTGAAATATGCTATCTTTAATTTTTTTAATGGTCTTTTATCTTCTGAAAGTGTTGGCCTTCATATTTCTGATCATAATACACATAATCCTGCTATTCCATTGAAAAGTGTTGATTAAATATAATTCAGCACTTTTTCTTTACTCACTGATTTTTCATCTTTTATTATATTGCAAATATATATTATTTTATTTTATTAATTTAGTATATTGTATATATATTATTTTTGTTTTTACTATGTTATATTGTATTCTTATATATTTTATTACATAATTTTATTTTTTATTTTTATCTTGTGCTTTTCAATGTTGTTATTTTGTATATTTTATATATGCTCTCATTATTTTATTGCATTTTATGTGTTTTTTTTTGTTGCTTTTTGTTTTAATTTCCTTAAATGAAAACAAAAAGCAACAATAAAAACAGTTTGTTATTACAAATGGTTCCTTTTTGTTCATTGGCTATTACCTGTATTAATTAAAACTAAATAAATGAAAACTTACCTTACTTGATTCTGTAATTGCAAAATTGGAGCCTTAAGATCATCTATTGAACGTAATTCCAACTGAAACCTCATTCGTTGCAGCTTTTCACTGGCTTCTTTTTTACGTGGCTCGACATATAATAATAAATTATTTACAAGGTCAAGCAGCATGGCATATTGAAGAGAATTTGTGCACATGTCTAAATCATGATGTGTCAGAGTAAAAGAGTCTACTGCATTCTCTCGTACCCAGAGATCATTATCTTCAGGCTATAAAAATATATCATTACTATTTAAAATATTTTATGTTGCTACGCTGAAGTTGAGTGAATTTCTTACCAATGGTGGAACTTCGACACTACCCGAATCGATATTTTCTCCATAACTTGCATAGAAAAACTGACAGCCACATCGAGAAACTATTCTTTGTAATTGTAGAGGTGCTGTTGTGGGATCAGAAGTTCCACCCACTATACTGCTGACCACTCCTCCAACACTGTGTCCACTACCAACTAAGTCTGGTAAATCACTTATGATCATAGACGCTCTTTCTTCAATATTATCTAAAGACAACCACATGATATTGTCTACTGACGGCCCAGGTTCTCCTGCATCTACAGTGGCATAATACTTTAAAAAAAATATGTAATAGTTATCGTACGAGTAAAATAAACTTTTTTTTTTGTTATTTTCGTGCATGTGTTTGGTCATTGAGTCCTTAATATATATCTATACATATATATATATATATATATATATNGCTAACATATTTTAAATGATTAAAAAAACTATAAGCTGTTTAAAAATTCCAAAAAATATTAATTTTAAACATTTTTTTCAACTATATAATACATCATGTTATTTCCCAATTAGCACTAACAATAAATAATTATAATTAATTGCAAAACCTACATACCTACCTAATATATTTGCTAATACATCTTTGTCTTTTTTTAAATAATCATGATGATAAAAAAATAATATAACAATTTGCAAGATGTTTGAATTGGATTTTAATTTCATATTTAAAGTTTGATTTTTTCTCTTCAATTAATAGACATCAAGATAGTAGTAAATAATTAACCCATAAATATCACTCAAATCTTTATTTACCTGCATACATTCTAGAGATCCAACCCACGTGGTTTTAGAAACCAAAGTATGATCCTTCCACACTGGACGATGAACACGCTGTAAAATTTGGGACTTTGCAGCACTCACTATCACATATCCTGAGGTTTCACTTCCTTTCAACATTACTTGACTGTTAACTAATTCAACTGAAAAAACAATTTTAAAATTTTTTAAATTACTATTATAGATATATTACATATATTTGTTTATGTAATAGAAAAAATTCTAACTAGATTAAGATAATTTCATAAAAAAATCAAGTAAAATATTAAAATTGTACAAGACATACATGTGTTATAGAAATGATTTTTTTTTAAACACTTTTCATCTATGGGCACAAAGAGGCCTTCCCTCCAATCTATCACAAATTCAGTCATGCCCACAATGGGGTCAGTCAAGTATGAGGGACATAACATATCTGGAATGGATTAACCAATAAAAAATTCAAAAGCTACTGAACCCAGGATCATCAGAGTGGCAGGCCAACACAGTTACTGCCTTCAGCCATCTGGCCATCAATTCATAGTCCTTAAGAATCTTAGATGATATATATATAAACTCTTTTCACCTCTTGACAGTAAGATGGATCACAATGGGAGAGTGTCTAATATGTCTAGGAGAGACTACTCATAAAAATTTCTGAAATATGATATTGACTTGAATTTGGTTCCTTGGAGCAATTCAGTTATCAAATTGTCAATGACTATGTATTTATAATTATAGAGAATATAAGACAAAGTACAATGTAACTTTGTAAGTCAAATAATTATTGAGGACTAACATTCATTAAAGCTGCTACTTTTCTCTTTCCCATTTTGTCTTTTTGCTTTTCTCACACAGGCAAGAGAGAAAAGACAAGAGAAGTCATAGTTAAATTAGTATGATTTCCATTACAATTATATCTAAAATATTCTAAATTGATTATTGAAATTAATATACATTTAAAATCTAAAATTTGCAGTTTTTTATTTAAAAACTTATTTAAAAAATTAATAATATGCAGCTTTTACTTTCATAATAATTATTAACACTTAAATTATACTTATATACTATTATTATTTGAAAAATATTTTATGCTAACTTCTAGAGAAATCAAATTTAGAAATGAGAATACATCTAAATCAATAAGATAATGACAAGAATCTAATTTAGAAAATAAAAAATAATTGACTTTTTAACAATAGAAAACAGAAAAAAAAATTCACATTACAGCATATTTTAAAACCAAGACTGATTATATACAAAATATCTTTTGTTTCAAACTTATAAACAAAATAAACTACTAAGAAAATAATAATAATTTCATTATAAAAAAGTCCATAATGGAATAAGAGAAGGGAGTCTTTACTTGGAATCATCCACTAAAAATCAGGAGAGTTCAAATTAGATAAACAGATGCAATTTTAGACTTCAAAGTTCTAGGCAAGCATGGTGCTGCAATGCCTCATTTATTTAAGTTTATATCATGTAAAATTTGTATCATACAAAGTTTAGAATCTTAGTTAGTACAGGATTCAAAGTATTGGAGTGAGACCAAATATGGATAAGTATATGTTTGTCAACAATCTAAGTTTTTTTCTATTGTATAGGCCTAAAACTTAGATCTTTTGTGAAAGTAGTTACATGTCTTATGTTCTATTGGAAAATGTAATGCTCTTAAAGAAAAATAGATTGTATTTGTTTCTGAAAGATTTTTATTAAATAATAGTACTGATTTTTTTCTTGTTGGAAGCATAGCACTAACAAATTCTAGATTTATACCATTGTAAAAAATGGTTAAAGATGCATTTTGTCCAAACAAATTGTAAGGAAATACAACGTTTTGGCTGCTAGAGTGAACAGAACAATTGCCATCTGTTGTCCACTTATGAGAAAATAAAGGTCGATCTTGGTGCGTGTCCACAAACAATGTTAACATTGTTTGTGGACACACACAATAACAATGTTAACAATGTTAAGTTTCGGCCAAGAAAACATCTTGTGTCCCCCACATCTAGTACATAGCCCAGAAAAGTTGGCATCATGCAAATTTTTCTTATTCCCAGCATAGAAACTGAAATTATGAAGAACCCATTTCCTGTTCACAACACTAATAGTCAAAGCATTGAATGAAATTCTGAAAGACATTTCAGAGGATGGACTATTACACATCTTTAAGAAATGACAGAAATGGCAGCAGAACTGCTTTGAATTCTATGGAAAATATTTCAGAAATGCCCGGAGTAACTATGCTTCAGAATGATCATCATGTAAGGAAAAAACAGTCACAATTTGTTTTGACTTTTCCTAATAATTATTCTATTATATAATGTATGTTATTATATCAGAAGACTAAATTTTATTACTTAGCCAATTTTTATGGAGAACATCATCTGTCTGACAAGCAGCTATTCCATGAAGTTGTTGTTCTCTGTTTGGACAATCAATCTGCAATTCAAATCTTTAATTAATCCCATTACTTAAGTTGTCAAACATGTAGAAATATATGAAAAAAATTCAAAGTTTTCAATTATTAAATTATCCAATGCACTATAAAGTTAAATATAAAAAAAATTTATATAAAAATTTACAAATGTATTTTATGTGATTTTGCAGAAATAATAANTTGTTGTAAAATACTTTGGCTGGAAATATATTAAAAGAGAGAGAGAGAAGTAAGAACATGAGTAATTTACACAATGCGTAAAAGTAGCTTTCGAAAAAATATAAAATAAAATAAATTTATCCAATTCCATCTCTTGAAAATAAATTACCTCTTCAGTGTAAACCATGGTGTTAGCTTCAGCTTCAGCAATTAATTTCTGTAACATGTTTGCAGCCAGTCCTGACTGAAGATGTGACATGGGACTCGTGGGCTGCTGACAGTTTGGAAGACACAAATTTGTTGTTGTGTAAGTACGATGTTTCTAGAAATAATTTATAAATTCAGAATTATAAAGTTTAAAATGTTTATAAATATTAAATTATTAATTGGTTTGAAGAATGAAATACAATTTCCTTGTTATCATTCTATTCTAATTCTGTTAGTCTTGAAAATGAATCTGTAATCAGGAAACTTCTGAAACTTTAAAAATTAAAGCATTTTTCCAAACAATTAATATCATTTAACTTTTTGATTTGTTTTGAAAAGTTTGAGACTAAATTACAATTTGGCTTGAATAAACAAATATTTATTTATTTATTTACAACTCATTCTGCTCTACAGTCACTATGAGTTCCTCTTTTCATATCTATTATGGGTTTGACTAGCACCACAATGGGTCAACCAAGTGGTGAAAGATGGGACCTGACAGATCAGAATCAAACCATTACAAAAACTTTTGATATTTTAACTCAGACTCAAACACAGGTCATCAGAGCAATCAGATAAATATCTAGTTATGGTATCAATCTGGTGCTCTGGATGGTATTCATAAAGGATAGTTGAATCAGTAAAGTTCAGTCAACCCACATCAATTAAATTCCTTCATATTAATATCCTTCACAAATTAATAAAATTTTTAAACATCTTGAATGTCTAAATAGTATATTTGCATACTGAGAAATTGCAATTAAAATACCCCTATTCAAAGTTTTCTAGAGAAAGACTTAGCAATCCATATACAACCAAATTTGGTATGGTGATATTTTAAGACATATAGAAGGCATTTTTGTAAAAAATAATTAATACCAAAACTCATCACTATGGCACTTTTAGCACTGCAAGCAACAAACATTTTATTTGCATAAGATACTTGTGCAATACAGAGACCTTAGTAATGAGGGAATACTGTTTGATTAGAATCCCATTCTGAAGATGTAAAACCTGAAAGTGATGAAAACTGCTTGATAGCCAATCATAACTGATCCTCTTTAATGCTCCTCACACGAGTGTTATATAGTTTTTACAGCTGCCAAATTTGCAACACAATCCCAATAAATCATATTTTTTTTTTGTTCCCATACAGACAAAACTGCTTTTTTTTATTGCTTGCAATACCAAAAATGTCTTCCACATATCCTGAAATGTTACCATACCAAATTAGTTTGCATTTGGACTGTCTAATCTCTCTACGCAGCATTGAATACAATGTAGGATCTTAATTACAATCACCCAGCATTTACATCAAATCTTTTAAAGAATATTTAATTATTTTTTTATCATTATATCTTCTAAACTTCTACTGTCATACTGTGTATTCAAAAATAAAATCCATCCTTATTTTTGTATTTTGATAAGAGTATTTAGATTATTGTTTTGAAGAGATTTAGATTAATTGTTTGCAATTATTCACTTGAAAACTATGATTCTATTTACTAAGGAGATATCAGCATTTCTATTTTTAGTTCCATTTATCATTTTGCACAAGTTAATATATAAAATCAAATTTCATAATATATTTTCAAATAAAATAAATTAAGAATTATCATTCTTTAGTTATAAGCATAAATTTTGTTGGAGAGAACAAATGACACAAGTAACACACTAGTAACTGACTATTCCAACTTTATTATCCTGTTATAATAAAGTTGGAATAGTCAATTACTGATGTGTTCCTTGTATGATTTGTTTTGTAGTAAATGGTCACTAATTGTGTTTATTGTAAACTTGTGTTCAAATTGGTGTATTAATATTAGTTATGTAATTAGTTTTGTATTGTAAATTGTGAAACGGGAATGATTTCCATTTTATATAAAAAAAAAAAAACCATATATTGCGTGCCACCATTTGATGGGTGAGGCTTGCAATTGGTTATTGGCTATTCGACGAAGTCACATGTGTAGTTAAGTTCCCGGATGGTGGGAGCTTTTAAATAGTGTGTATCGTGCCTGGTCAGACACTTTCCTTGAAATATCCACCTGGACTGGACTCATAAGGACCGATCGAGTGAAAGAGAAAAGGTAAAGACATTTTTTTGCTCATATCACAGAAGGTAAGCAGTGGACTGGTGAGGTCAAGAAGGAATCCATCTAAATCGACGTGAGGACACTGCATATGCCCGATACAACAGGGGCACCATGTGGTAGAGTGGATATTTTACCAACCTTCATAGTTATTTCGTTTGTGAAACCCCTTTCAACACGTGTTGATACACCTTGTTAGTGGGGTGAACCATTGAGAGATTGAATGTGTGAACATATTACACACACAGGAACATCATCTGTAAATATCGTCTGTAAATATCTTTGTATCCGATTAGGTTAAGTTCGCATTTTCCTTTGTCACCACATATATTTTTATATATATATTTTTTTTAAATAAAATTCATAAATTTCGTGTCATCACTTTGTTAAGTCCTCATTATTCTTACCCGATAAAAATGTCTAGATCGTTTCAACCATCCAAGACACTACAGTTCTCTCGAGCAAAACTTATGCTTATAACTAAAGAATATATCAAAAGAATGAGTAGCAATTAAACAATCATCATTCTGTTTTTATCAGAAAATGAAAAATAAAAGTTTGTGTATTTGCATTAGATTAAAATTAGTTATGTAATATAAGTATATTTGTATATCTTATCATTTTAATAATATTGATTTCAATCTATGCTAGACTAGTATCTATCATAGAGAGCTTCACTACAACATAAAACTGAATTTTAGATCAATATTTCTGTTCCAATTTAAAACTACAAAGACAATTACTGATATTCTGTGCTATTCTGTTAGTTGATGTTTCTATTTTGGCAACTAAAATTTGAGTTACAGTAGATACACAATTTCAAATCAAGTAAAACATTATATAATTTTAATGTATTATCTATATTAAATGCTTACCCTCAGATAGTCAACTGTTTAAATTTTCCACAAAAGAATGTTTTTGTCATGTTTTAGGACTGCTTAATAAACATAAGTCACTGTTCCAACTGAATTTGAACATTTTTTGATGAATCAAACAATATTTCAAACAACACATTTTTGAACTTCTATATCATTTTTGGTGGATTAATGATAATTCAAACTATCCATTTCGGTTCTAATTTGATAAAATCAAACCCCATGTATGTGCAGTATTAACAATACTTCCCCATTCAGCCAAAAGTATTAATTTTCCCACTTATATTACACTGACTCCTTCATTCTTCCATTCGAGTATAGCCTCCCAATTTCTTATTTCTAGCACTCCTATCCATCTGGTGTCCAGTGTTTTGGAGTGTGCATTAATTGCTTAGATGATGCATTAATGATGCTCCAGAATTCTTATATTCTTAATTGTTTGAACCATCAATAATGTTCAAATTCAGTTGAAATGTTTGTGAAGTGACTTATGTTTGTGAAGAAGCTGAAGCTGTCCTAAAACAGGACAAAAAACTTTCCTTCTTGAGAAAATTTAAACATTTGGCTACTTAAAAGCAAGCATTTAATACAAATAGTACTATCAAACCAAAAACACAAGATAATAATTGTTAATTTTAATATTTTTGGTATTACTTTAAACAAAATATATAATGTAGAAAGATGAAGATCTGAAAATCTTAATATAAATGAAAAATGGGCAAGAAAGTTAAAGTTTCACATTTGAGAATTTGATATTTTTGAGAGAATTAACTGTGGTAAGAAATACTATTATATAATAATTGTATAATCTTAGCTTTAATATACTAATGCTGTAAGCAAAGAACATTTTCTTACCAAAAAAGTTTGGTAGTACAGATTTATTAACAGTACTTTTATCAAATTATTTAAATAAAACAAAATTTTTAAATTAAATCTAATCTGAAGATATTCAATAATACAGGTGAAAACATTTATTAATTTTTGAATTTTTCTAAGTAATTTAAGAAATATCTTAGATAACCCTATAAATATACAAACTGCATATAATAATGCGTTATTTGTTTAATTTCTTTCTGTTTTTGAATTTTCCTCTGAATAATTTTTTGAATAAAATCAATTATAATACTATAAATTTAGTTAACTTAATAAAGCAAACAATATATCTTTAACAGTCAATAACAGTGTTACTCACTGTTATTTGGAAATTCAGTTTGGGAAAATGCATTCCCAACTCAGTTAACAGACAATTTTCAGAAATAAAAAGATGTAAGAGAAATTCTGTTATGTCTAAAGCATTTTATACCTGAAGATAGCCCATTAACTAGGCCAAAAACATTTGCATTTCTCCAAACTGTTATCCACTGTTAAAGATATATTGTTTGCTGTATCAGCATAAACATCGATAATCATTTTTATCTTAAATAATAGATTCATTTTATACATTTGCATTTCATAAATGTCTCGCATATTCAGTCATCTAAATTATCTTGATGTAAATGTTATAACTCTGTATGCAAAAAATATATAATTTCATCAGCATAATTATTATAATTGCAAAAATATTATTGGGATACTGACCATGTTATAAGGTTGTGGATCTACTTTAATTCCTTTCAATGCTTCTGTTGAAAGATCCCTCTTCATAATTTTTGCTTTCATGTAGCTGTCAAACAAATTAAATATGACATCCCTATTATGTTTGGTCCAAGCTCCCTTTAATCCATGAACAACTAATCTATGAGTGGGAATATCATCCTAAAACAGTAATATATATTTACTCTTTGTAAGTAGGAAAATAAATATATAAAACTTTTATAAAGGCAATACTGAAATAATATATAGTAACTTAAAAAATTTGTAAAAAAATAATTTTACCTCTTCTGTTTTTATGTCTCTTATAGGTGCTTCTCTTCCATAAGAAACTCTGACAAAAATTTATATTGAAATCAAATAAAGTTACAAAAATGTCTAAGAACTAATAAAAGTAATATAAAATATAATTCATTCCTCTTTTAACTGCTTTCAGTTAATTTAAATTTAAAAGTCCAGAATAATCTTTGAATTAAAGAAGCCCTATATTGGATAGCTGATAAATTTTTAGATTTCTCTATTTTAAATTCTTTTCTTATAAATCATACTACTAAAGGATTTAAAACTGAGAGAAATCTTAAAAATCTTTGTCCAATATTGAATGTGGGACTTCTGTTTGTAATTACAAGGGTTAATTGATAAATAAGCTCTCCTACTACAGCTTCACACAAAGTGCAGGGGTATATGATATGTAGCGAGAAGCATGCATGGGTTTTAAATACACCACTGTTTGTACATTTCCTTGTTTAAATCTTACATCAATGTCCATTGATATGATTTAAACAAGGAAATGTATTTAAAACCCATGCATGCTTCTCTCTACATATCATCTTAGTCCAACGACCCATATAAATATAATTTATCAGCATTTAAGGCACTAATCAGAAGAGTATTTTTATATTGTAACAACGTTCAGGACCGTCTCAAGAAGATTAGTAGAATTAATAGAATTGCAACAAATTTAGGCTTCAAAACTTCCACAATTGAAGGCCTGGTCAAAAGTTACAGAGAACATAAAGGCAAAAAATATACTAAAGTAGATGCAATTAACAAATTCACATACAATAAGCATATAGGAGGAGTGACGAATGAATTGGTTACTTATAAAAACTCAAGAATGGTCTATAAAAGAGCACCCAATTACTATAGCTTACTAAGGAATGATAAAGACAGCATAAAAATAGAAGAGAAAGCTGGAGTTTATGAAATACCATTTTTTTAAATCAACTGTTAGGTGTAGCAAAGGATTATGTGGGTGTAACCAGAAAAAACCTGGCAGTACATCTGCAAGAACACAAATACAACATTGATAAAAAGCACAACAACACAATATCAGCGATTTATGGCGCAGACAGAAGCAGCGATCGTAAAATGTGATGAGGCAAAAGTCATTAAAACGGTCCACTCTCCATCCATTGCATTGGAGATGGAAAAGATGGAAATATATAAAAGTAAATGAAAAACTGTTGCCTAAATGCCAAGGAGATGCTAATGCGCTTCCAACAGCATGGAAGTATATGATAGAAAAAAGCATGAGATTTAAAAAACCCTTAAAACTTAGCCTTGTTTACTATGTTTTTATTTATTTATGTTATTTTTATTGTTATTTATTTATTGTATTTATTTAATATACACAATTATTGTGAATCTTTTAAATTTAAAATGAAAGTATTCAAAAAATGATGCATTGGAATGGTTTAATCGTAAGCCTGAATATGGGCTATATTAAGTAGGTTGAAAACATTAGAGAAATAAAATAATTTATGCTTGGCAAAGAATTCAGGTGTGTTAATATAATTATCAGGAATGCATTAAGGTTATCATTGAATAATGGAGATTATTTTTATATAGGCTTTACATCAAGATCAGTATTGGTTAGAATTAAATTCATATGTAAGCTAATAACTTATTTAAGTATTTTGTAATTGATTACTGATATTTTTGTGTTTAATGATAATGTTGTTTGAATGGAAGCAAAGAAATGTAGTGCTTTCTCTAATTAAAAAGATCCAGGTTTACATCATGTTTGAATTTTAAACAGATTCCTTCTTTCTTTCTCATAGATCATATATATTTCTCTTAATTCAAACATAAGGAAATAACTTAAAATAGAAACAAAAGTATCATTTCCAAAAATAACCTATATAATGATAAAAACTACAGTAGAACCCCTCTAATCCGTCACCTTTGGGACTAGGGTATGGTCAGAACGCAAAAAAAGTCGGACTATCAGAAAAAAGTAAAATAAACAATCTTCCCCTTTGTCCAGTCTTTATAGCACTGCTAATTTTTCATTTAATGAAAGAGTAATGTATTTACGTTTCACACCAGACATATTGAAAACACACGCAAAACTGTACATGTACTTGTACACACAATGTAAAACATATACTGTAACGAACACAGAAGAACGCGATGGGCGACTAGTCAGGACAAGTTTCTCGACTCCGACCATGGTCAGATTAACCGGAGCGATGGACTAGCCGAGGGCGGACTAGAGGGGTTCTACTGTATATACATTGATAATTTACTGCTATTTATATACTGTTTTTGATCAAATATTTTGACCAGAAAGCTGAACATAAATACAAAAGCATGATTTTATGTTATTTTATTAATCAAATTACATTAAATATGCATTACAATCAAATACAAAATGCATTTCCTATCTGACTGTAATGTATGCATTTAAGTTAATTAGACACAAATTATGGAAGTAAATAAGTCTGGAACTAATTTAACATTTAAAAAACATTACAGAAACTATAATTAAAGATAAATAAACTAAAATTTTAAAATAGCAAAATAAAAAAAATTAATATTTGTACAAATTTCTAAATACTTTCTAATTACCTTGTTACACTAAGAAAATAACTCCTTTCGACAGGAAACATCAATGATTTATTTTCCTGAAATATATTTGATAACGTTATAAGAACTTTTTAAAATCACAAGCCAACTGTAGAAAAAATAATAAAACTCACATCATTATTTTTATCATTAAGAATATTATACAACCAAATTTCACTATCTCCCAATTCACAAGTCAGGTGTGATATGTTCCAATTGACAGCTGGTCTAGTTATAAATATAAAAGTACAAGCTAATTAAACACTTTAATATTTAATTTCTTAATTCCATCAAATCAACTTAATGACAAAAACATTTTTAATTTAGATTGATAGATCTTCATCACTTGCTGCAAGAATAGATTGATAACTCATGGATAACTCATACAAACTACCAGAGGGCTAGAACCAGTTATAAATTGGCTAAGGACTTTATGGTAGGATGAAAAGATTTATTTTTTGTTTTTTAATGTAATAGCGTTAGATCCTCGGATAAAACGCTGACGCTTAATCGTTTTTAACTTTGTGAATTTTTTTTATCTATTATTGTCTTTTTTAATGAAGTTTATTCTTCAAACCATTGTAACTGTTACTTCTGTGGTTGTGTTTAAAGGATTAAAGGATAGACTTGAAAATGTATATTTTTGTGAATAGTCTTAACTTCAAATTTAAAATAATGACGTATGCTTATTGTCACGTTACGGTTCATATAGCAACTTCCAGGACATGAATAATATTTTGGCGTCAAAATTAATGCATTATTTTTCCAAGTTGACTTTGTAAATTAGTAGATGACAACTGCTGTTGAAAGGCAGCTGGCACCATATTTTCTTTAAGTAACAACGTATGGTGCTATCAAACTTTAAACAGCAGATTTTCATCTATGTGAGGTATGCTGATATCATCTTGTGGCAAAGTTTTTTCAAGTTGGCTTTATAAATTTCCAAGATTTCTAAGTGTTTTACCACTAATCTAAGTGTTCCTCACTGGTTTTATGATTTTGGTAATATCCCAGAGTAGTCCGTCCAGTTTTCACCTGGACAGTCTGGGAATTGACTCACTGTCTGGGTGAACTATTAAATTTTGTCCAGGAATTTTGTAGAAACTGTGAAATTATGATAAAACAAAGTTCTTGCAAATATTTTTACAAATTTACTAAAATTTACACTATTTTAACAGTGAAAGGACTAACACTCACTGAAACTCATCTGCAATTCTGTCATGTTAGTCTGTTTACGTGTTTATGCCGACATGTGGCATGCAACCTGTCGCTCTTTTTTTTTTTGTTTGTATGTATGTACAATCATACACATCTCAAACAGAGCTAAGTTATCTGTACTTGTTCTTTCTTAATTTAGGTTACCTGTGTTACTCCTATGTAAGTCTCTAGTCCCTAACTGTAATTGATTTAGAACCGGCATACACATTATTCTTCGCATTGTAAAATGACATTGCGCTTGCATCAGGAACTTCTGTTTGAACAAACCTGACCTGCTGTCCAGGTCAGCAATTTTGAAAAGGTGGCAACACTATACCTCAAAATCAGATTCCATGGCATAGGCAGAGAGAGAAATGTTATCTATGCGTTTGCCAATTGTCATTTATGTTTCTTAATTCTGGTATGGAGATCTCTCTTTGTGGCACTGATATATTTCAAAGAAGAGTTAAAATGGTGTTATGTATACAGATAGACTAAGTAGCACACATGCTAGAAAGATTGTACAATTACTTATTGTTATGTAACAAGCTAAACACAGTTGGTGAATTGCAGAGACAATGTTTAGATGCCAATGATGTTTAAGAGATAGTGTAGACGACAGCTCAGGAAAATTTTGTTGCAGAGACAATGTTTCTTACTTGTCATAGTTTAAAAACTGGTTATTTGGCCTACTTTCTGGACTCACTCGCTAGTGGGTTTAGGCAGCATTTTAATTTGAGTGGAAGTCATAACATTGTTTTGTTCATTGCATAGTTTAGATAAAAATGGATATTGTTCCTTTGATAAATGTTGTAAACAGGATAAATCAACAAAATTATTCATTAATATTTCTTGGATCAAAAATAATATAACTAAATACTTTAAATTTGCTTCAAATGTTCCAATTCTGATATTCAAACAGGTGAGGAATTCAACCAGGTGAATTCAACCAGATACTTTTGTTTACAATTCAAGTATCATGTCAGTTATAAAATGTTAATGCATTTCAGGGTCATTATTATTATAATTCCCTCATCAGAATGTTCTGTTAAAAAACAAGACAATTTTAATAATTACCAAAACCTTTTTATAGAAATAAAAGATATGATGATAATAATAATGATAATAAAATATTTAAAATTATTTATCTCAACAATTATGAAGAGATAGAATAATATGAGATCAGAATAATTCCTTAAAAATCTAGTCTGAAGATAAATTTTGAATTTGGCATAAATTTTCTATATCTGAGTTTGTTCATATTTTAAATCATATTGGCAATAAAATTAAACATTGAAATGGAAAATGATTGTCATTAACTGCTGAATAACAGTTGTTGACAGCCTTATGATTTTATGCTACCAGAAAATATCAGAAGATAGCTGGTGACCTTATCAGGAGTTTTTTCTGATATCACAAATGAATAACCCATTAGCTGAACAACTTCTAAAAGAGGAGAGTAACGGAGAAGGAAATAATAGCCAACGTTTTGTCAAGGTTCATTTAGATGGCTTTCAAAAATAGATGATTGTTGTCTTTGCAACACATTTTAAATCATGGTTCAATCAGCCAATGTCTAGACACTGTTTGGCTGTTAATCGTCATTTAACATAAACTCTGTCTCTATAATCAGCTGAGTAGAGTTACATCTGTATGCAATGTTTAAGTTGATACTCTTCACAATCTCCTTAAATATGCTGCAAAAAGAAATATATATTCAACACAACAGTTCATTCTAGGCTATAAGGCCCATTGTCATCATCATATGCTTGGAAAGAATTTATCAACTTGTTATGATACCCATGCTAGCATGCAATGGTTCTGATGTAATTCAACCCTCTTACAGTATCTTGTGCATTAGAGCAGTACGTAAACACTCTTGTAATCAACCTGAATACACAAAGTTGTGTAAAATTGGTTGAAAGACAGGCAGAATGAAAACAGTATGGTAATGCAGTTTACAATATATGTTGGTATGGATAGCACATAAGATGATGTTAATGTCCAAGAAATGTACCTCTGTGGCTTTCTTATTCTAATTGGAGCTGTAAACCATATGGATTGTAATTAGTCAAATGGAGAAAATGCACATCAGTGTTACTTTGACACAAAATAAAAATATTATCAGCATACCTCACATAGATGACAATCTGCTGTTTAAAATTTGATAGCACCATACGTTGTTACTTAAGGAAAATATGGTGCCAGTTGACTTTCAACAGCAGGTTGTCTTCTAATCTACCAGGTCAACCTGGAAAAACAATGCATTAATTTCCAGAATGCCAAAATATTATCCAAGGCCTGGAAATTGCTATATGAATCATAACATGACAATAAGCACACATCATTATTTTATTTTAATCTGTTTTATTGTAACCCCAAAATGGATTTTATTTCAAATTTTGCTTCACACGTACACACTTTAAACAGTATATGTTCTCTCTAGTCAAATTTTGTAACTGTATTCTAATTCTTGGATCAATCTATTCTTGCAGTAACAATGAAGATCTATCAATCTAGATAAATGTTTTTGTCATTAAATTGATTTGCTGGCATTAAGAAAGGTGGGCTTTTTTTGTTTATATACCTGTGTGTTAGATTGTCTTCTATAGGTATTAGGGACAATACATGTTCTGAACTCAATGAAAGACGTCCACCCAGGAGTTCCAAACCCCTCTGCTTTGCAAATGACATCCAATAACATACTTGAAATTTATGCAAATTCAGAGAAAGACGAATGTGTCGATAGTGTCTTCCCAAAGGAGTCTTTCGTGGCTTTGTATTAGAAAACAATTTTCCCCTTCTCGTCAGTCTTGTTACTCCAGCATGAATTATCTGGAATGAATATATTTTTAATAAATTGGATCAAAGATATAGCAGTTTTAACATTTCAAAAACAGATATTTTTTGAAACATTTAATGCTTCAATGCAATATACCTCATGTTTTAGGTACTACCATCATTTATCCTTCACACCAAACAATGTTTTAATATGATAGTTAAAGGCAAAAACTATATTACATCTCATATACAGTAACTTAGCATCTTACAGTACATTAACTTTAGTCATAAGATGCTAAGTTATTGTACATTTATAAGACTAAAGTTAATCCCAATCAAACCTTTAAATCCAATATATCTTTCTTATTTGAACAGAATAAAATTAACTAATTCCAATCAATATTCAAACAACTGGATAATTTACTACTATTCCTACAATAAAGTTAACCTTTTTTAAATGGATTAGTGACATGACATTATGAAATCAAAGCATTCACCTCTGCTGGAATTAAAACTAAAAAAATAGATTTCACCTAAATTGAATTGAATTTTTTGAGAATACTTTAACTTATTATTCCTAATTAATTTAATCAAAATAAATCTTACCTCATTTAATATTCATTGTGTAAACAGAGTATTAAAGCCAAATTCATATTCTTATGTATATATTTATAAATTTCTTCATTAAGTCAAACTTCTCTCAAGATATAACATGTGACATCCCTCTATCTCCCCAACTCCTCAACTTTTAAGATCCAAAATTTAATAGCATCAATGCCCCTTATACACACTATTACTATGCCAAATTTCATTTCTTAATCTTTACCCCATCCAGAGATAGTAAATGAAATAGAAACCGACACAGAAACAAAATCCAAAGATTTCCCCCTATTTTTTGTGTATTTTTTTAATTCAGCTGGCCTCAAATGTGGATATTTGCAAAGAAAGTTTTTTGCATGATTTCAATACTTTCTCTTATTATCTATACCTAATAGCCAGGAAAGTAAAAACAAAAAACTTTAGAATTAAATTTTAGATTTACTGATAGATATAAATATTGTTTTTACAAGTTTAATAAAAATCTTATATACTTCACAATTAAAATTTTATCTACAATATTGATATACAGAAATGAACAAGTCATTATTACTATATACAGTGGAATCCTCTTACATTTACAGTAATAGATCCACTGAAATGAAGTAAAAATACATTCATTTGGCATCTGGACCCAGAGAAAACATCTGTGAACTGCATATATTTTCTCCAGGTCCATTGTCAAGATTCATTCTAATGTGATTCTATTGTACAATAATGGAATTTTTATGTAACGGATGAGTCCAAAATAATGATTAATTGCAATAAAACAGACTTTCATAATAAAATAGACCAATTTCTTCAGTCTTGTGGTAGTCCATTATATCAAGCTTTTACTGTATTACCTGTATATTAAAAACCATGTTTAGTTTAAGCATGTAAGTTTTGTATATCTGCTCTATGGACTATTTGACTAATCTTGGTTATGATCATTAAAAATAGATCTGGTCAGTAGTGGAGTTAGCTAACACAGGTAAACAATGAATAATGACACTTCAATGCATATTACCTAGTTGATAATATGTATTGAAGTATCATTTGGTAATATGCATTTCTCAATATCTTACATAAAGCCATCTGATAAGTACTTAAATACATTCTTTGACCAATTGCTTATCTCATACATCAAGTTAATCTTGATAGAAAAATCAATATTTGTAAATGAGAAATTTTAACTTATTTAATTTATTATGATGATTAATTTATAGTTTCTAAAATATTTTATATTTATTTAAAATATAGAGAAGTTTAAATTTATGTAAATTAATGAAAAAAAAGCAATAAAATTTTATAATTCATTTTATACAACTATTGTAACTTTTTTGTTTAAAATAAAAAGAAATTATTTGCTGTATTAAATACCTTCAGATTTTCAATCCACCTTAGCGTGCTACTATATAACAACATTGTCGGTACATCAGCAGCCGTTTCCAATGCAACCGGTTTTGTTTCTAAAGAGATGATCATGTTAAGATTTTCTGACCGAAAAGCTCTGTAAGAATCGTGAATCTGTTCAAAATAAAATAAAATTAAAATAAATAACTTAATAACATACATTAATCTATAACAGTAGATAATATTCAAACCTGATTACTGGAATATTCAGGCACTTTGTCCTGAGCACAAGGTATAACTGAGAAATGTTCATTCGGATGTCCCAAACACTGCCAGTCAAGTTTGAATCTGAAGAAATTTAAGCAATCTAGTTATATAAATATTTAAAGATGATAAAATTTATTCTATTAAATTTAAATTTATACATACTGAAGCTTTAACTTGGGCATGTGCAACAGACGACAATCATCATACTTTGATGCAGTATGTACATATATATCCAAATCTCCTTTTGTTACTATTTTAGCTGGGAAAAAAAAATATGTAGAAGTTCAAGTACATTAAACTATAATTTCTTTAGCAATAATATAATATATTTAATAGTGTATATTTCTAATTGAATAAAAATTTCCTATATATTTTATGTAAATTATCATTTTTCAATAAATAGTCAATCAAAAATCTTTTTTTAATTTTTCATATGTTGTTATTGTTGTTAGTATCATACTTGTAATTGTAGTTAACTGCAATCAAAACAACATGATTAAATGTATTATAATAGAATACATTTTTAGGATCTAACTGGTTCATGTAAAACCTTCATGAATCAAATCCCATTTTCTCCCTTAGTCTCAGTAATTGAGGTTTCTTCATGATGCACTCAATATAAATTTATGATAGAACTTTTATATCAACAGTAAGAACAGAAGGATCTAACACAGTGGTTGCCAACCAATAATCCATGGACCACTGATGATCAGTGAGAAAATTTTGGTGGTCCACGGAGAAATTTGGACATTGATCAACTCAAGGTTACACAAAAGAAAAGCAAATGCTTGGTTGTTCTTTCACTCACTTGGAGTTATTTTATTCTAATCTAAAATCAAACAAAATGATTATCAATAAATAATAATGTCAATAAATCAAAAAAAGAATGTAAGTGTGATTGTCATCTTTCATGGAACAGAGCCAAGAATCCATAAACTATTTTAAAAAAGCAGCAACAAACTTCACACTAATTTGTTATAATTAAACAAGTGAATTTCATATTAATAAAGTAAAATGGAACTTTTATGATCCTTATTTTACAGATGTTTGTATCGTTTAAAAAAATTCATGATAGTGGACCAAGAGATTCAAAACTGAGTTTAGTGGTCCATGAGAACAGAAAGGTTGGTGACAGCTAATCTAAAATAAGTCTCTTGTAAGGAAGGAGGTCTATTATATATTACAATTACAAATCTTTTGTAACTTATATTATGAAAAATGTAAAGCTTTCAATGTCTTCTTTAAAGTAAAATTTTCCATACTAATGCACTGTTTTTCTCATCAACAAATCAATAAGAGATTTTGATTTACTTGGTATTCTTTTTTTAAGTTTAGGAATAAAAGATTCCTAACTTTTAAAAAATTATCACATTAATTACTATAAAAAAATATTTTATCTTGAAAGATTTCTCATATACAATACCATTGATTCATCAAGATGAAAAATGAAATGGAACAGCATCAAACATTATACTTTAAAGAAGACACGAGAATCTTCTATAAAATTTATGTAGACAATTCATATAGTTACTTTAACTATATAATATATCTTGACAGAAGATTGTTAAAGTTTCTTATTTACTTTAATGCAATTATTATATAATAAATTAATGGAAATTTCAAAAAACATTTTCATAAACTTTTGACAAACATACATTTCTATTATCCAAATGGTTTCTTATTATATAAACCATCACAATCACATTCAAGCCTTTGAAGACAGAATTATAAGAATTTTTTAAATATTTTAAACCTTGTTTTGATTTCTACATTGTTTTTTAAATTGAATTGCTTTCAATATAAAATATGATTTAAAACAGACAAAAATATTTATATAATAAATTTCAGCTGGTTTCATACAACAGTACTTGTTATTTTTTAAAAATTTAAAGATTATTATATTGTCATATCATATTTATATATAACAACTTAATAATTACTTTTTGATTATATTTTTTAAACCTAGTTTAGCTCTATGAGCACTAAACAGATCATTATATTCATGAATTTGGCCAAGACTATAATAGAGTATTATATCTGGATGATTTAACTAGTATTTGGATCAAACTGTACATGAAAATTTCTGAGACTAGCACACAAGCTCAAATCTGTTCCTCAGAACAGTAGGCTGATGTAGTTACCACTCTTCAGCTAACTGGCCAACAATTAAATAAATTCAAAATAATAATTAGTTGATTATCAATGAATTACTATGAAAGAATTTAAAAAATTAAATTGCCTAAAATTATGGCTTTGAAATAAAACCAACCATTAGTCCATTCGATTATAACATCAGACCATGCAATTTCCATTTGTTCCATTGTGTTGTACGGATCCAGCGATGCATGCAACAGAAACGTTAAATTTTGAAAAAAGAACGTATTACGACCGTGGTACAAAAGACGAATTTTGTCCCACCATGGCAGTGCTGGACTTGGATCAGCAGATGGCTTGCTGATGTTTTCCATGGCAATGACCACCTGAGCTATCACAGGTTCCCAACAGACACCATATGCCATGCCTAATGATTCCATATCTACCAGTAAAAAAACAATTTATTAATTGCATACTATATCAAATAAATTTAAGGATAACTTTTAAAAATTTCAGATATTTTACAATAATTCTTTTTTTTTAATAAATTAAACATTACTGATTATCCAAATTATATAAGGTGAATCATTAACTCTAAAAGGAATCAATAGTTGGAATAATTTGCATTCCAAGTGTGTAGATATGCCCCCCACACACACACACACACATATATAAATGTCACTGAAAGTGTGTATATGCCAGGGGTGGCCAATCTCCTTGATAGTCCGAGCCATTTTACAAAATTGAAATTTTTCGCGAGCCGCAATTAAAGGTATGCAAAAAATTCCAATTACAAAATATATCCGTAGCAAGAGTGATACAACTTGTTTCCTCCAGAGCACAATGTCAACTGTCCATTGCAATGACAGTTTACAAATTCAAAATCGGTCTGGAGTCGGTCGATAACGGACGATTACGCCACTGTTTATGTTCGTTCGCGCAGTTTTCGATGAGTCATATCATTCTTAACTTGGACGGAAATGAAATTTGTTACAACGTTGCACTTAGTCTTTCATATTTTTTGTTAGTAATTTAAAAGACATTTGAAACACATACGGATGATAATAATTTTTTAAAATATAATAACACAAAAATGAAAAGGGAACTCGGGTACAGTACATTTATCGAGAGCCACAAATAATCCTTCGAAGAGCCGCATGTGGCTCGCGAGCCGCAGGTTGGCCACCCCTGGTATATGCATATGTGTATATATATATATATATATATATATGCACACACAATGACATCTGAGAAATGGTTGAATCAAACCCTTACATACAAAGCTGGATTTAAATTTCTTGTAGCTCTAAATTGTAACACAAAAGGCATTTGTTCCCTTCCTATCAAATAGTAATAACTGAAAAACATGAAAAACCTAGATTAGAGATTGTTTAGTTTGTGTGTATGTAGATATGCTTATAAACATGAATTTGATTCACTTAAACATATTATTGCAATAGATTTTTCCTTTCCTTTAGCACAATTCTGTCTTTCTAAAGATGGCTGATGAGAAAGAAAATATTGTTTTGTATTTTAGTTTTGTTTCTATAGATCTTTTTAATTAAGTTTGTTAACTCATCATGTTGCATCTCTATCACCCATTCTAACTATATATTTATTTATTTATTTGAACTTAAGAGAACTATGTCCAATATTCTGCCAGTTGAACAAGTCTGGCATCAGTTACCAAAGAAATTTGATAATTTTAAATAGTCGCAACAACGGAAGGTTAAGAATCATTTTGAATTGAAATAACATTACTTCCGGTTTGAATTGGAAGTTCAAATATAGTTAATCAAGACCTTTTTCTTTAAGGATTCCATATCTGGTCTCATCTTTCATCTACCTAACTCTATTCTCAAGATTAAGGAAAGAGACGGATGGATGGAGAAACAGACAGACAACAATGAAATTTATAGGTCTACAATTTTTTCAAATTGTAGCCCAATAAGGAAATAATTTATATTAATTAAACACTTGAATAGGAAAATATGATAGAAAACAAAACAAAAATAATTAAAAACCTATTCTTTAACATTAAAAACCATATTGCCACATTAACACACAAACACAAAAAAAAAAAAACAATTAAAAAACACTAAGATGTCCTTGAACTTTTTTCAGAGTATTCTTAAATATCTGTAAAATGTTTAAAATGTTTTTAAAAATGATCCCATTGTGAATAAAATTTTTGCTATACATCCTCAAATGTCTGATTTTCAATGTCAGAAACCAAATACATCAATGAAAAACCATTTATAGGGTGCATTCATTTCATTACAATAGTATACATTTTTACATTAGTTTTATATCATTCTTAAATTTTTTGTAATGAGATGATGTAAAATGGCAAATTGACGTAATAGTGTACATTATTCTAACAAAATGAATGTATCGATAGTCTCAATTCATCTTAATATGTAAATGACACAGAACATCCTCCAATGATCAAAATCATAAATTTAATTTTTTTTAAATTTTTTAACACACATAATAGGAAGTGTCATTAGGATAAATGATTTTTCCCCAAAATTAAAAAAACAATAATAAAAAAGACCCTTAAAAGCAAACAAAAAAAATACATAAATTTTTTATCATGAAAATCTTAATTTAAACAATTTTCTTTCAAGAAATATTGATTTTAATATTATCTGATAATATTCTAATAATTATCTGAGTGGTACTTGACAAAATAGTCTTTTATTTATTTTTTAAGCAAAGAATCCTCTATACTTAAATATTTGCTTAATTATTTGATAGAGATACTATATGACAGAATAAATTATCTTTCCTATATTCATGCCATTATGGGTTTAGCATTATTCCATTCTGGAATTATTTAATTACAAATATGAAAGTATATCTGCTGTAAGATTAATAATAATAATAACTATACAACACATCACTTCTGGTTGCAAGCTCTTGGCGCACATTATTTACACAGACATAATCAAGTAGCAAATATAACACACCAAGAGCTTACAATGAATGAAACACAAAGTATTAGACATGCACGAACCATACTACAAATACATTTCACAGACAGTATTGGAAAACAACATGCACAAAATGTACTACGACAGAGCCGTAATCACAGATAAAACAATTTACCACAACAGACCAGACATCACACTCATTGACAAACACAATAAAATCACATACATTATAGACATAGCCATTCCAAACACTCACAANCCATAATCACAGATAAAACAATTTACCACAACAGACCAGACATCACACTCATTGACAAACACAATAAAATCACATACATTATAGACATAGCCATTCCAAACACTCACAATGTACAAAACACATGCACTGAAAAAATCAGCAAATACACAGAACTCTGCGGAGGATGGATAGGGTGCTTATTGTACCTGTTGTTCTCTTCTCTACAGGTGTGATACCACACACACTGCACAAAAGCCTGGGAAAATTACAATTGAATAGAAACACATAATCATACTACAGAAGGCCACTATATTGAATACATGTCATATTGTTATGAAATTCCTGAATACACACACACTGACACAGTTTTTTAATTTTTGTTTTGTATTGGTTACTATCAGTGGCGTGCCGTGACATTTGATGATAGGGAAGCTGTGTTTCTTATAAGAAGCCGACTTCCAGGGGCAATCAGTCAGCAATGGTCTAGGGTCCATTCGTATTCGTTTGTTCGATAAGCCAGTAAAAACCGTAGACTTCTCTAAATGTATTTTTAATTAATAGATTATCTAACGCACTTAATAAATAAACAAGTTCAATATAATTAACTCTCTTATATTAGATTTAATAGATTCTATACGCCCTCTAAATGCCAATTCTCGCTTCGATAACATCTACTAATTAAAATATATCTATTAGCCGTAACTATCTTGTTATAATTTTCAATATATATTTTATATTGTGTACTAATGTTAAATTCTATTCTATTTTGATTTCCAAATTGCTTCAATTTTACGAAAGAATCGATGCGAGATTTA